TGGACGTGGATCGTAAAAGTGGGCAGCTGAGGATGACCAGGAGACCTTATTTGCTGGATTATATGGAGGAGGAGGGGGAGGCGCGGGAATGGCGAGTAGAGATTACGGCTATTTGGAACGGTTTCACGACCTCGCAAATGGTTTGTGCTTCAGTTTTCGGGTAATTTTGAGCATTTTGGGGTAATTTTAGACATTTTCAGGGGAATTTTAGGCATTTTTGGGTAATTTTAGGAAATTTTCTGGGTAATTGCCGCTTCTTAACATAAAGAGTGATGTGATATAATGGGCGATTTTTAGGTGACCATTCGATTCGACGATGGTAATGAGTTTGCTGGGAACGATGGTAGTGTGGGTGAAAGAGAGCGAAATTTCGAACGATTCTTCGAGTTTGATTTACCCGAAGATCCGGGAAATCCTCCACTTCCCGCTGCTGCTGGTAAAACTTCACAAGTAGAACACGGTGATCTCGTATCTCAGCCGGGAAGCAGCCGAGGTCGTTTTGTTGGTATCGTACGCATGGAGGAGGCAAGCAATCGCATTCTTCGAACCACCAACGGGGAACAACGGGCGGCGGATTTGCCCGGGAATTCTGGCGGCCAGAATTCCCGGGAATTGGAATGGGAATACCAAATTGAACCGTCGGAATGGAGTCAAGCGTTTGAAATCGACACCCGCACCGGAACGCTGAAGACGGCCGCAGGCCGTAGAAGATGGATTGATTTTGAGGAGGTGTGGGATTGATAAATCCTTATTTTTTTCTGAATAGCGATTAATCTATAAATTCAAATTTCAAAATTCCGTATTCCGGAAGATTCTGGTTTTAGTAATCTGCTTTACCTCTATTTCATTTCATTTCAGGTGCAACACATCGTGTTGGTGGTAATCGCTACGAGACACTCAAATAGAACACAGTCAACGGATCCTACGATGAAATCACTACGAGTATCGTCGAAGTCTGAACAGAAGTCACAAACGCCAGAAGCCAATCGAGCCCGAGCCCGAGCCCGAGCCCGAGCCCGATCTGCTACTTCAACTCGAACAGCGGCAATACGACGGCGGATTTGCGTGCATCTACAAATTCTGGATGTCAATGATAATCGGCCTAAATTTGTGGTGGC